AAGCCCCCCCCCCCCCCGCCTGTACATAAATCACGCCTCATGAATAATCATATCTTCAGCTCGCTAGAGCTGCTTGTTGCGTTCACGGCAGAGGCGCGTGAGCGTGGTGGGAAATGCGAGCAAGATGGCGGCGTTAAAAGAGGAGCAGTGCTACGGACTGTCCTGTGGAAGAGTGAGCAATGGCAGCAACATCTCCGTCTATCATGTCAAGCTGACTGACAGCGCGCTGCGAGCGTTTGAAGACTACCAGAGCAACAAGGTAAGACCCGCGTCGACCGCAACGCGAGGCTGGATAAGCAGTGCTAACAGTCGGCAGCAGGCGACAGTTATTTCCCTGCCTGACAGCAAATCACCCACTCAGCTGAACAAATTCCCCTCAAAGCGAGCAGGAACTTCGGTGTAGCGAACCAATCCCAGCCCTTTGCTGTCGCTGCCTTCCTTATTAAGCACTTGATACGCGAATGAAGCCATTAATTAAACCCACAGTAGGTAATGCAACAAAATAACTTGTTTTATGTGTCTTAGTCTGCTGGCAGACAGTCTAACGTTAGTTTGGTTGAAAGTAACTGGCTTTTTAGAATTTTAGAATTGTGATTTCCAGGTCCGGGAAAGTCATGAAAATCAATTCTTAAAAGTCATGGGAATTCCACTAATGAATAGAAATATTTTATATTTTCTTATTAATTTTATTGCTTTATTTGAATGGTCTTCTGGTCAGTTTTACATCTTTTAGAATTGTGATTTCCAGGTCCGGGAAAGTCATGAAAATCAATTCTTAAAAGTCATGGGAATTCCACTAATGAATAGAAATATTTTTATATTTTCTTATTAATTTTATTGCTTTATTTGAATGATGTCTTCTGGTCAGTTTTACAACCTAGCAACCTTATCTAGTTTAAAAAGAAAAAAGTAGCCATAACAATACTGCTGAATTTTACTGAACAAATGACATGGCATCGGTAACATTAGTTAAGTTCAATTTTAATACAGAAATTAGTGCTTAATGTTTGACGAAGTTTGTATTTAATATGAAAGATGCTCCTTTCTGCCTATATAAGCCCAAACCTATGTTTTCTATTTTAAACCAGCCCTGCTATTAATTTGCATTCCCTAGTTTTAAGTGGACGCTGTTTTCCACATAGCAAAGCAGTGAATCGGTGTCTTTGAGATTGTAAATTGTTCATGCCATTGGAATCTATCAGTGAATGAGCGTAAACAGTTGCCACATCTTCAGAAATCCAAGCTGATTGTCCTCAGATCTGAAAAGTAAATATTTTGATGTGTTATGTCGAACGACTTGGTTTGGATTCTCGCCGTCTGGATTAAAGGGTTCGCGAGCTGCTGCAGACGCAACAGGCCGGGCAGGTGGACGATATTTGATAATAAAATGCATTAATTTGTCTGCGCTGTTTCAGATCAAAGGAAGACTCATGGTGCACAGTTCATGTTTGGTATAATAATGCAAATGCAACTGGATCCGAGACGCAACAAAGGCCGAGACTCTGTATTCAAACTAGAGTGGAAGTTGAGTCACACTTCTGGTGATGTCAGTAAATTGGACGATAGGAATAAAATTGCAGCTTTTGGTCTACACCCAAGCCGGTGAAATTGTCAGCTTATATAAGTCTGGTTTTAGTGTTGCTCTCTTATGTAGTGATTAATATGGCATATTCTTTAGATGTGATATGTGAAACTCAAGTCGACTGGCTACATGTGACACTGTGAGGGAGGCTGAAGCTTTGCTTGTGAGTATTTTTAGCTTTCAAGCACTGTTCACAAATGCTACTAGTAAGTTTAGAGGTCTTAGTTTGGTGTGTTTGCATATTTGAATTTGCTTTTATTGCTCAAGGATATTTTAGTTGCCTATGAGAAATTTGGCTAGCTGGATATTAGATTTATTTTTTACAAATTCGCCTTTTTTTTGGTTGGTGTAGTACTTTGTAAATGTGACTCACCGTCTTCTGATGAACTTGATCATTTTTAATCGTTGCAATAGTTAAAAAAAAGTACTTTTAATCCATTTGGCGTCTCTTCTTCATCGCGACTTTTAAACTCATGTGACTGGTGTCGTGTAACACATGCACATGCGTCGACGTTGTACATTACGTACTGGATTTCACCAACCCTACAGCTAATTGACAAAACCTTTTTACCCAAATGGACCGTTGTGAATATATTTGAAAATGAAGTTAAAGGGGTTATATGATGCTGCTAAAAAGAACAGTATTTGGTGTAATGAAATGTGTTTATGCGGTTTAAGGTTCAAAAAACACATTATTTTCCACATACTGTGCATTATTGTTTCTCCTCTATGCCCCGCCTTCTGAAACGCGTCGATTTTTACAAAGCTCATCGGCCTGAAAAAGCGAGGTGTGCTGTGATTGGCCAGCTATCCAGTGCGTTGTGATTGGCCGAATACCTCAAGCGTGAGACGGAAATGTTACGCCCCTCACCATATTGTGACGATGCCCTGTCAGGCCGGAGCGATGATTCAAAACATGAAAACCCATTATAAACTAGGCATTCGTTGCATCCAGTGGGGACATAATTACGTCACTTTAATTGTATAAAATGTATTTTATTTATTTAATTTTTGCAGTTTTGTCCGAATATGTTTCCTTGCTAAAAATTCTGGTTCCTCACTAGTATATTAAAGTTAATTGTGAGTTTTTCCTCGCTATTTTGATTCATTTATTTTTTTTGTTTGAGTTTGTATGTCACAATTCTGACTTTTGAGAATTTTGAGATCTGAACTGTGAAAGTCATAAAATTATTTATTTATTTTAGGGATGCTCAGATCAGGATTTTTGCAGCCGATACGAGTACCGATTTCTTGTCATGGAGATCGGCCGATGCCGATTCTGATGCTTCATGGATTTTCCAAAAGGTTTCGTTGAATAAACATGAGCACATTAAAAGAGGAAAACGAGGCGTGGGTGTTTTTATATCACTGTATTTCTGAAGGAAGACTATCTTTAGAAAATCATTTTCATTTCATCTTGCATGTTATATTGTGTACAGCCGTTACTGGGGAAACCTGTTTCTCCCGCTTTAAAGCACCTCTTTTCTGTGTGTGTCTGTCTGTGTGTGTGTGTGCCTGATCGGGACGTTGCAATGACAGAAACGGGGACATTCCAGATAAAGTTTAAAAGGAGTAAGGCCTGTGTTAATGCTATGGAGTAGGCTGATATGGCCAAAGAAGATATTTTGTTTTATAAATAAACGTTCATTTAAAAGCAGCCCACGATCAGCGTATTATGTTACCGTTATCCCTTACGGCTCTGACGAGGTTTTGTTCTGTCCTCCACGCAACTCCCAAAAGACTATTTTTAGCCAAGCAGCACGGAGAGCCGCTTCAGAAACGTGCCGCGGCTGGCTGATAAACACGAGCACTGACTAGAGCGGCCGCGATCAGCTCCGGTAGCCGTGGAGCCGCAGACGTGTGCAGTGAGGTGCAGATCAGCTCTAACATCACTGAATCTGCTGTTAAAAATGAACCATCTATTCATCATATCATCATGCAAAACCTACACGATAAATAGCGACTTTTTCATTGTTTCTCAACGTCATAGCATTTCCACACTGGCGACGACATGACTGTGGCGCCAAATCATTTATGTCCCCACGCATCATGTATGTCGTCACGCGTTGACGTCATCAAATTGCAATCGATTCGTGAGATCGGCCAAGCGTAGTGAGTACCGATCGAGTCATAAAATGTGATTATCGGCCGATCCCGATCTCCGGCTGATCGATCGGAGCAGCCCTAATTTATTTTTATTCTGTGGTAGAAACGGACTTCCATA